CGCCACGCCTTCCCGAACCGCATATGGATGTCCTCCTGAGTGCTCTGCAGTGATATCTGTTGCCCATTAGGCAGCGTAAAGTCGTCCCGGAAGTCACGCGAATATAAACCTAACAGCCCTCCCGTCCCGTTCTATACGTTCATAAGCATCAATGAAATCATAAATTATTGTTAATATTTGATAAATACTTCATTTATGATATGATGGACGTATCAGTGCAACAAAATTTCATACTGATTGCAATGTTTGCATTGTATTTATGAGAGATAAGTGCTTTTTTACACTTTTATTCTCAATGCAAATCTCTTTAATACCCTTTCATTTCATTTCTATACGAATACTGATTACAGACTTCATTGCATTTCTCTAGAAATCACTTTATTTTGCTAACAAAACAATATTATTGATTGCATTTTCCTATCATAAAGTGCATTATCATCCTATAGTCGCATACCACACGCCCACACACCCTCCTAACCCTAACAAACAATTATTGCACAGATATTTAACACATGAATCATAACTGACCAGGAACGTATAGGGCATATACACGTGGACAGTGAGGTGTCCGCCATCGGTCATCACCTCCACACCGGCCCCGGAGTCAAACATAGCGATCACGTGCGACATATTCTGTATACCCGCGGGCTGGTAGAGGGTCACGCCCTTGAAGTTCTGCAATCTCATGGACTCGTCCCACCAGAACACGTACTCCTTGTCCACAATGACATACATTTGGTACCGCCAACGGGCGGCTACCGGTCTCAACCGGAACTCCACTATAGAGGAGATATTGTCGCGCGCGGCCACTGCCATCAGTGCGGTGGCGTTGAGCGGGGGGTCAGTCCGCCTATTACGGGGCACCTGCTCAAAACGGGCCTGGACGTCTGCATAGGGGGTAGGGGTAGACAAATGGTTAAGACATACAATTAGTATACAAATTTACTGGTGTAGAGATGTGGTTTAGACTTGCACAGTGTTTGAGTTAGGAATGACCTACCTAGTTTGTGAATGGCGTTGTCCACGTGCACCAGAGTGTACTCCCCTTTAGCGTTCATCGTGTAGTTGTATCGGTCAAAGGTTACGAAGTGTGGGTCGCCGTACACGGAGCCGATGGCCGGTGCCTGGTATGAGGAGCAGTCTTGCGATGTGCGCCAGTAGTTATACATCTGACACGTGTGCGCGTTGTCCTCCTTGGCCTGCCATTTGCAGCAGAAGAAGAACGGCATTGTGTCGTGAAGCCATTCGGACAGCGCCGGGATCTGTGGTGGACAGGGAGGTTGCGGTTACTCATAGTCGATATACATATGCATATAAATATAATATACCATCATGCGCATCTTAAAGGGATGTTTGCCATAAATATAGGCCCGGGAGGGTCTGCCGCCATACATAGTGTCAGCGGTCTGTAAAAGCTCGCTGTAGTCGTCGTAACAACAGGTCTGTCCGGA